GCAATGATAATTATAGATACATTTGTTTCCAGTGCTCTTCAATGTGAAACTGTAAAATGCTGTAATATATATATATATATATATATATATATATATATATATATATATAATTTGACTTCTTCATAATACTTTGAAGGGAAATACATTGTGAGAGATAAAGATTATCAGAGTACTATGAACTTCAAATTGTTCCAATTCACTTATAGAATAATGATATTAACAAATTTGAGACAAGGACATGGTTCTTTATTTTTTTATTAGGAACATAAAATCTACAATGCATATTTTATAAGAATTCAATATCTCACAGTTATAAACTCACCCTTTACTTAAATTAGAATTACATTTATTCATACATTTTATTTTTTAATCTTATTTAATCTTTATCCATCATTTGTGTGTTGTATTTACATGTGGTGTGTGTGTCTTCACTCTTGTGTATAAATATGTGGAAGCTGCAATGATTTCAGTTATCTTACTTCATCACTCTCTACCAATTTTTGAGACAGATCTCTCATTGAAACTAGAGTATTCCATTTTGACCAAACTATTCCTTCAGAAAGGTCCCAGGATCTGCCTATCCCTGTCATTCCACTGCTGGTATTACAGATATGTGCCTTTATGCCCAGGTTTTGCATAGTGCTGGTGTTCTGAATTCTGGTCCCCATGCTTATAAAGCAAAACACTTCAATTCACAATTCATGTATTTGTTTTCCTTTGGGAACAAAGAGATGCAACAGACATTAGACTCATAAAATAAGCTTCAGAATACAGTTTTATTGAGTTCTTTGTAGAATTAAGTAAGCCATCTTACCTCAATCATTTAGTTCTCTGATGTAAAATGTAAGACTTAAGTACTCCCATCAAAGAATATTTATAGCTATTAGTGAGATATGAATATCAGCAGATGGATGGTACATGAATAAAATAAACAATTTGTTCCTTCAGTGCATGCCTGTTTCTGATGTGTGTTAAAAAGTAAAATAACATTCATATTCTACTTTGAATTTTGTGTTGTGTCTAATAGTTGTTACATAGCCATAATCATTTAATAGAATTTCATAATAGTCTTTATTGATATATTCTCTAAAATCACCTTTACCATGAATCTTAACCTCTAAATAAATATACATAGAGATTTATTCAAAAACAAAAAAAACATCCAATATAAATTCCTTCTTTCTATGAGTCTCATCACTTGAATATTTGCTAACACAGTTTTTGGACTAAACACTTTTCTCATCTAAATGGTTATGAACATACAGGCAATCAGAAGAAGGTTATACTTTAGCTTTACACATACATTCATATACATACATTGAACTATGATAACTATAGAATAACATTGTACCAGGCACAAGAAACCTTTTGATGGTTTGGTCAGGGTAGTCCATATGATTTCCAAAAAAATATAGATTATTGGTGTAGCCCTAGGTTGCCTCTTAGGGGTTGAGATTTGAGCATGGGCCTCTATTGCTGAAGATACCATATAGTTATGATACACAACTCAGATAATTTAAGCTGGATCTGACCTTATAGCCACTTTCCTATAGTATATATTCCTTGATTCCAGAAAATACTATGTAAGCTGAGAAGAGACTAAATCAGTTAAATAGTCTCATCCAGCTGTAGTGCCTATGAACCATGGCAATTACCAGCATGGTAAGTTGTAAGGTGTAAGAAGTAGCTCTCACATGTATGTGGAAACAAACATCTGTCTAATTGGATTTAAGGCCCACTCAATAGAGAGAACTCATGCCTGGTACTAACAGGCAGCTTCTCAGGGGTTGTAAGGTCATGGACTTAGGAAAGAATCTATTACAATCACTTTGATAGATCAGCACTAATTCCATATTGTATTCTAAATCTTATCATTATATTCACAGACAAGTGTAGCTACAACCCCTTATCAAGGAAGTTTCTCATAGCAAATGGAAGCCTCAAAAAACTACAACTGGACACAATGCAGAGATCATGGGGAGTGCAGTCCCAGTGGATACATCTACATCACAGCTCCTGTATCATAGTTCCCTGTGGCATAGGGAACATCAAGGAAGGAGTGACAGAAATATTGTAAGAACCAGAATATCAGAGTGTCTTCTGTGAAGTAGTCTTTCCTAAAAATGGCTGCATAAATAGTACTAGAACAATGGCAGTACCAATAGACCTGCTAAGATTAGTGGAAGAGGGAAATACCTCACAGGGTCTTACCCCTAGACAAAGAACTACAGGTAACCAATGATTACTGGGACAGGCATAATTAGTTTCTTTCAGGGTTGAGCCCCTCCTTATTGGTTTTCCAACACAGAATGGTCAGTCTTGAAATTATGTACACACAAACAACAAAGACAGATTCAGCAAGTGATACATATTTACACATGCACAGACACATATGTAACAAATATAATAGAATAAAAAGAGTGTAGTTGGAAGTTTTTCCATGTCCTGCCCAATTCACAGCCTCTCAGACCCAAATAAACACACAGAGGCTTATATTGTTTACAAATTGTATGGCCATGGCTCAAGCCTTTTACTAGCTAGCTCTTATATCTTAAATTAGTCCATAACTATTAATCTATGTATTGCCACATATTCCCTGGCTTTACCTGCATCCCATTACATGTTGCTTCTTGGGTGGCTCACTGGCATCTCCTGACTCAGCCTTCCTCTTCCCAGAATTCTCCTTGTTTGCTTATCCTGCCTATACTTTCTACCTGGTTACTGGCCAATCAGCATTTTATTGAACCAGTGTGCAAAGGCATTACCCCACAGCAAAAGAGCCTATCAACCAGAGAGAGGCATGGGAGCAACTAGCGGGAGGCAGTGACACAGTTTTATTGTAAGGGAAAACATGAAAAAGTCAGAATCAATAAAATAGAATACTTTGAGCTGGAAAGTTTGAGACCTTTCAGGATTTAGACTTAAAAAAAAAAAACAACTTTTCTTGGCTCCAGGCTTGGTGGTGCATGCCTTTAATCCCAGCACTCAGGAAAGGCAGGCAGATCTCTGTGGGTTCAAGTCCATCCTGGTCTACAAAGTGAGTTCCAGGACAGCAAGAGCTGCAACACAGAGAAACCCTGTCTCAAAAAAACAAAACAAAATAATTTTGCATAATGAGATTGAATGTTATAAGAGAAACTTAACCTTGAAGATAAAATTTCTAAAGACATATTCTGATTGATAAGTAATATTAGTTATCTTGCCAAAGTATAATGGGCAAAAATAGCAAGAATATTTGTTTATTCAAAGAAATGTACATGAAAATCTCACTTAGCTAATCTAAACTTTGCAATGGACTTACAGTGAAATTCAAGAGTACAACACAGACTTGAAATTTAGTTGGAAAAAAATTGACTATAATCCCAATATCCACCTTGCTGTGTGAAATGTCCTTTGGTAGGTGATGTCTGAAAAGCTGCTTAATCAACAAATGGCTTTGCACCTAACTCACATTTTATCAGCTCATGGCTAGATCATTAAAGGTGATCCTTGACTGACTTCCAGTTGTTAAATTTTATCTTCTAATGCTCAAACCAAGACACACATTTTCTCCAACGACAAGAGTGTTATTTATCTAACTTTGGAGCCATTATATCTGGAAAGCTTTAAAAATATTGTGTTTATTATTATTATGTATGGGTGTAATGTGGTTTGCACGAGGAAATCTGAGACAGCACATTCCACTTGCTTCTATCCTTCCACACTATATGTGGCCTCCAGGGATGAATTCAGGCTGCCAGTCTTATTCTACAGCTACTTTCTATGTTGAGCCAACTCATTGGCCCTGAGCAGTCTTTGCAAAATTCTGATGGTGGTGATGATTCAGGAAATTATTTTTTTTTCCTATTGACAGATTGTGAATTGGGTGCAAAGTTAGGTCCAATAGTTCCAGATTCTTGGGAAATTGAAGCAACAGAGTCACTGGAGCCCAAGAACTCAAGACTACTCTGAGTGACATATAACATCATGCTTCAGAAAATGGATATATTGAATTTTAAGTGTTTAAATTTATGAGTGGCATTATCAGCTATAGGCATATATATACATGCATAAACAGATACATAGTGTTAATATCACACTAATATAAAAAGAAAAACAAGTTGGTAATTCACTAAAAAAAAAAAAAAACCACTTAAGTTTTACCACATGTGAACATACGCTCTGAGACTAGCAAATTCAAGTCTGGAATTTATCCAAGTGTGTGCACCAGAAGCCATGTGCAAAAATGTTCATAGAAGCTTTATTTAAATCAGCTAAAGTTGTGAAACTTCCAAATGTTAGTGAACATGAGAATGGATGGGTAAGAGTTGTGTGTTTACAAGAGGCAACAACACATACACTCCTCACAAAGCTTGTATAGCTCCTACAGACAAGAAGGGAAGAAGTTAGATGTTTGTGTTCTGAAAAGTTCTATTCCTGCGATCTTCAAGAGAGAGCCAGCTGAGGTGAAGGGATGCACAGTGGTACTTTCTACCAGACTGCTTGTTCTGATAGCAAAGCTCACATCTAAGAGATGTGCACTTTATGCACGCTATATCCCAATAAAATACGTTAACAATACATCAACTGTAGGAAAGAATTTCCAGATTTGGGGTGGTGGTGGTGGGGTGGCCAGAGGATGATAGAATAAAGTGCAGAGCCATTTCCATTGACTTTGTCCTTTGTCCCTGGCTGGCTTGCTAAATTCAGTGTTTCAAACACTGGGGACTTGCCAGCTCAAATCTTCAATCCTCAGAGGCTCACAAACTTCCTGCGTGGGCTCCTCCTGCTCGGAGGCGGTTGAGGATGGATGTATATGGGGACGCAGAATGAAAAAAATAAAAAGGACTCAGCTCCCCTTCAGTTCCACACAGCAGTACAACAGGAAAGGCAGAGAGAAGAGCAAAGCTGTGGGGTGAACACAAAAGGACCCGCGCTAGTGCCAGCGTTTCAGCTGCCGCTGGCTGGACAGCTCCTGGATGACTTCCGTTCCTGGGGTGGACCAGTAGGACAGGTAGGGTTCTTGGTCCCACAGGGACTGACCTCTATTCTCCCGCTTGCTAAGAGCGGGAACTAAGTCTTAAAGACGGGGAAAAGCTTCAACGGCTTTGCTTTTTTTTTTGTTTGTTTGATTTAAATTGCAAACCTGCAGTAGTGAAGGGAACCTCTCCCAGGGCGAAGCTCCCGAGCGCGCCGCGCAGACTTCTCTGCGGGACCAGCGCGGTGGTTCAGTCCCAGGAGCCACAAACTTGCCAGGATTAGAGAGACATCAACTAAATCCACGTCGTGCTCATTGTACTTTTCGAGAGGTTCGAGTGAATGAAAACTCCTGCGGGTTCTCTGGGAAAAGAGATCATGCCCCCCAGGTCTCTTGCCAACCTCTCCTTGCCCTTGGAGGCGAACGAGAGCGAGGCGGTTCCTGAGGTGTGGGAAAAAGATTTCCTGCCTGGCTCGGATGGGACCACTGCGGAGTTGGTGATCCGCTGTGTGATCCCATCCCTCTACCTAATCATCATTACGGTGGGCTTGCTGGGCAACATCATGCTGGTGAAGATATTCCTCACCAACAGCGCCATGAGGAGCGTCCCCAACATCTTCATCTCTAACCTGGCGGCTGGGGACCTGCTGCTGCTGCTGACCTGCGTTCCAGTGGACGCCTCCCGCTACTTTTTTGATGAGTGGGTGTTTGGCAAGCTGGGCTGCAAACTCATCCCCGCCATCCAGCTCACCTCTGTGGGGGTTTCTGTATTCACCCTCACCGCCCTCAGCGCAGACAGGTAAGAGTAAACAGGTAGCAAAGGGATAGACTGGAAAAGTGATGGATAGGGACAGGGGGCTAGGATGGTTGGGAATTGGGATGCATTAGCCAAGGAAAGGATGTTGGGATAGGTTGGGGAATGGAGATGGGGAAAGGAAAGTATATGTATAAAATGGAAACCTAGTAACTCGAGCTGAAACATGAGAACAGAAGTTTAAAAACATATAAAAAACTATTTAAATAATACTTAAAATTGCACTAATTTTAAACTTGCACACTCTGGTGCCTGCATTTCCCCACACACTTTGGAAACAAATTAAAGTTCAATTGGGATTTTATTTTATTTTTTCTGTGTGTGTCTGAACTTGAGCAGGCTCTTTCCTGATTCAGTAGGGTGGCATTCTGGTATGTTAGAACACTAAGTTTAAGTTGAGGAAACTGTTTAGTTTAGACTGTGCACCATTTACAATGTGAAATAGATACTATTCCTCTAAGTGAAAGCAATTAGAACTATACGTGTTCTTCAAAACTAGGCTCTCACATCTTCTTGTTTGAAAATCTTAAGTTCTTCTAGTTCTTGTTGAAATCAAGTGACCCCCCCCCCGATAATGCTAAATTTTAATGTCTTAAAACAATACTGTGGGCACAGTCTTCACTATCAAATCCACTTTCACATACTCTAGCAGTGTGAAGTATCCATTATTTGACTTGGCAGATCAATTGGTTCAACTTCGTCATTTTCCATGTGTGGATCCTGAAGCTCAGAAAATGTAAGCCCTCCTGTGACTGCTGGGCAGAAAATCCAGGCTTCCTGAATGGAGGCTGATCCCAGGCTGTCTGCATCATGCTATCAGGTCTCTTATGCAGGAGGAAATGTCTGGGTTGTTGGCTGGGGGGTGGGGGACAATGTTTATAATTAGGCATCATTATTGGACCTATGCTCTCATTCTCTTGGGAATGAAGGACTGACAGAAGTTATTTAGCTAAACAGTTTAACTTGGATATAAAAATGGTATTTGGCCTCCTTATTAATTTTTTGTATTAAATTATTAATGAGTCTGGATCTGAGTTTCCAGGAGCTCTCTCTACTGTCTTATATTCACTTACACTAATTTGGAGTCACAGAGTTAATATATACTGGGAGTAAGACAATATTCAGGGGTGAGTTTTTGATGCTGTTGTTAAATAGATACTTAGTTTATATAATACACTATTTTAAATCACCCGTGGAAAGGTGATTAAAATTTTAAAGAACTTACGAACTTTATTTTGTCTTCTCAGCACCAGTTCTACTATTGTTTAAAAAAAGTTTTATTTGAACTTCAAATCTAAAATATGACGTTTGATCTTGACTGCTCTTCTTCAAGCGAGCTACTCTAATCAGACTGCTAAAGAAATAAGCTTAATTAGAGCCAAACACGATGATTAGCCACTACAGTAGGTGAAACTGACACCAAGCATTCATTTCTAAAGCATGGCAATAATAGCAAGACTCAGAACTTGAGTTTAACTCACACAAGTTTATTTCCAATCTATTGTCATGGAAGCAAGTACGTTTGCCCTGACCAGAGGCAGAAAACTGAAGAGCCTCCTGTATTTAGGACTTTTGGGGGGGGGTGCATCATATGCATACCATAGCAATTATGGAGTCAGCATGATACTCACATTATAAAGACAAAGACTGGTGCATCGCCTCTCTTGGACCATTGAGTACCCTGGCTGTTTTCAGTTTGGTCCAATTAACAAAGCTTAAATAGAAATGTCAATAACATAACAGGGATAAAAAGGGAGGAGAACAAGTGTAGGGAAAATGAAAAGTTGAAAAATATAGGATGACCCATACTTTCACAAAAGGTAATAATTTTTCTGAGAGCTTCTGAGTTGTCATCTCAAAAGAAAAGTTGCCTTTTATAGTAAGAACCCAGCTGTGATTTCTACAGAACCATTATCACAGAATGAATGGTTATTTCTGCACCTAATTCATTACATCTGTATTAAATAAAGTGTGTTATATTATATTTGACTGCAGTAAATTATGTCTTTTACTCAATTGATTTCAATCACTGCTAGATCGCTTCCATTTTCCTTCTCATTAGAAGTAGCATCATTGACTTAAAATGCACTGTGTTATTCTTGAGTATTAATACTGTTTCCACAATTCAGTTAGAGCTATGTGATTATTTGTCTAATTGTGACACACATGGTGAGATGGGAATCGCCAGGCTGGATTTTGTGGCAGCTGGGTCCTCATTGAAAGCCCTTATAAGCACATATTTTACCTAGAGAAGGGTGACAACATAACACAAAACTTATGCCCCTAAGGTAGTGTTTACCTAATATGAAAAACAAGACGAAAACCTGCAGAGAAGGCATCTGATTCTCTAAACACCAGACTTCGGTTGATCCCAGAAATCCCTGCTGCTCTGTACCCATTACTCCAGTAAGCTTGCAGGAAACCTGAGGCAATGATACCCACTGCTAATTGTTTCTAATCATGACCTACCTACATGCAGCCTTGAAAACATAATAGTCGAATAAAGGCAGAGTCTCTCAATTCACATCCTAGAGACTCACTCTGTCACTCAATTTTTGGAAAAACTCAATTCGTCCTTCTTGCCCCACCCCCAGTTCTTCAGATGATTCTGAAGCTTGATGCACTCCGACGTCACTAGATAATCGCCATTGTACACCACCATGCCTATTTCCGCCCACTATTTCGCAGCTCCACTCACCACAATTGATTTTAATTAATGATATCCTTAATACTCAGACCAATAACCATTTACTGAGAACACACTGTGTGCTCTGGACGTTATACTGGGTACTAGTGAAGCAACAATGAGCAATAGCTTTGCTTCTGTTAATCTGTGGTTCACACCTGGACTCCTTGTTGGCATCCTTTCTGCACCATAAAGCTTGATAAGAAAAGAGATGCTAGTTTAACCAGACATGCTTAAAGAAAGAGATTTTTGAGACGTTCTGATGATTTTTTGCAAGAAATAAAAATGATCTAATTTTCTGTTTATTTTATAGTATGATTAAATTCAGTTTTATATTTACACCAAATTTATACTACATATAGATATCATAAATGAGATTCAAGTTGATGTAGAAATCTGTTCATTGATGCTTAATATATGGATGGTGAATATAATTCTCTATGTCTGTCTTCTGATTGGTTATTCCTTAATTCAGTTTTCAATTAGGAATATCTCTCTGAGACTATTTGTAAGGGAAAATGTAACATTTTACACATTTCTGCTATGCTGCTGAGTTTAATTAAATAGGTTTTATGCTGAGGGACATCTTTCTCATGTTTTATGTAAATATTTGAAGAAGGCATGATAAAGCAGGCCCACTTTAATATGCATTAGAAGACTTTACTTATTGCTTTATATTCTTCCAAAGATATACTTGCAGCATTAATATTCTCTCAGAGCTGGGTCTATGGCTCAGTGGTAAAGTGTTTGCCTTGCATGCATAATGCCCTGAGTTTATTTCCTAGTACTCCCTTCTCCTCCACAAAACAAACAAACAAACAAACAAACAAGCAAGCAAACAAACAAACAAACAAATACTCATTTATAGTTGTAAACTATGTTACAGTACTGACAGCTTTGGTAATCTGTAGTTTTTCTAGTATAATTCTTTGTGTATCAAATTTGTACTGTTGTCTTTTCATTCAGTCGTGTATTATTTAGAGACCCCCCCCCTTCCCCTGAGATACAGCCCTCTTTTCTTGCAGAAGGTGACAAGAATCATCCCTGCTGAAAAGGTCTTCTTCATCTTTACCATACTCTCCAGCTAGGTTTATTTTCTTAAATGAATTTGACCTATTGCTAGTAATCTTAACACAATGAAAAGTTCATTCATTTTCTAACCCTTTAAGTTTCTCTGTCTTCTTTTTAGGGGCATAATACCCATTATAATCTGGAGGTTTGTTATCCTCCTAAAATTCATAAATTGAAATCTTTTCGCACAAAACAATGGTAACAGGTAGTGGAAACATTGTGAGGTGATCAGGTCTTTAGAGTAGGGTCATGGTGGAAACAACTCCAGAAGGGCCCAGTAGAAGACACTGCTTATAAACAAAGGCACAGTGAAACCACTAACTGGAGCACTCTGAACAGAAAGAAAAACGTTTGGAGGAACAAACTTCCAGGCTGCCTTGGAGAATAGAGGCTAGTGGCTGGTTGAGAAAGCAAATGGGTGTTATATGATAGTCATCAGGATGGGGGTCTTAGAGCTGAGCAGGCTGTTCAGACCATTCTGAAACTAGATGTCCTTGCCCAGGCAGTTGAGGTAGTTGACTGCTGGGATGGATAAGGGAGGCAGTGGCTTTCCTGGTAACTCCTGAGAAATGCTGAGTTTAGATTTCTGTTTACCCAAGAAAGTCCTGTTTACACAGGCAGAGTCCTTCTGTTTAGGACACTGTCATCAGCACTGATGTTTTGGGAGCCTGCTTTGTACCTAACACACGCCATCCAGGAAGGGTACTCTCACTGGACACTGAATCTGTCAAAGTCTTCATCCTGGTCTTCCTCCTCTTTGGGACTGTAAAATAACTTTCTAGGGTTTATAAATCACCCAGTCTAGGTTACTTTGATTTAGTATTTCAAATTACCTAAGACTATGTCTCTGCAACAGTATGTACTAGATGGCGTGGAGAGGGACATCTTCCTTTTATTTTTTATAAATATCAAGGATATTTAGAATGTCCTTTGTGGTTCTTGGTTACCTAAAAGAAGGTTTGTTATGGATCTTTATTATCTGTGTTATCCATCCTCTTCCATCAAAAAATTACAATCAGCAGATTTATTTATTTATTTATTTATTTATTTATTTATTTATTTATTTATTTATTGGTAATTTGCCCTTATCAGATATCTGATAACCATTATAAGTCAATAAATATGTAAATTTTGGAAGGGAGATATTCTTATCTTTACTTTAGAGTGAAAATAAAAAAGACCTTAAGTGACTTTTCTAAATAATATAGACAATGACGAATTAGTCTGACTGAAATCACTTTTTATTACATTTTCTTATTTATCTCTTAGATATATTATATCTTCAGATCCTTTAAAGACAAATACAGCATGCTTATATATAATTTGGTTTGTTTGCATTATCATTACTTCATTTAAAGTTTGGAGTTGGCTGTGAAAAGTTAAGGATGAAGACACTGCGTCTCAGAATGTGACTCCCTGTCAATCCTATACATTGCCGCTAATATACAAGAGTTGAGAGGGTAGGGCTTCTATCTGGTCCAACAAAGTGAAATAGATCTATAAAACCAGAGGACTCTTCAATTTTCAGTTTTTCAATTGGATTGTGGAGGAAAAAATCCCACTCTGGACTAGTATCTAGGGTTTATTGTTTAGGAAACTGTTAAGGAAAAATGTTGCGAGTCTCAAACTCGGAAGCTATAAGACCAGAATCAAGGTAAAATTTAACTGCATTGCTTTGCAGACCATTAACAACTCAGTTATTTTCCTTTGATAGCAAGTATAATGATAGATTGGAAATGAAAGAATTTAAATAAAAAAAATCTAATAGCTGATCAAATTCAATTGAAAAATGATACATATACTGTACATTGATTGAAGATAAAAATCATTGTGGAAGAGCCAACCACCACTGCTTAGGAGATTCTACTTTAAAATATTTTCCTCTCTCTGCTTGTGCTCTGTGCCAATAAGCCCTGGAATGAATTGGAGACACTGAGATGCCAGGGAATTTGTGTCTTCCATACATTAGGAAACAGCCAGGGAAGAAAGAAATGTTGGTATTTCTACTGCCAGCGAGATTTATTTCCTTCTTTCCTCCCTCTCTCCTTCTCTCTCTCTCCTTCCTTTCTATCTTTCATTTATCCCCCATTCCCTTCTTCCTCCTTCCTTCCTCCTTCCTTCCTAAAGAGTAACTTGAGCCTCTTGTTCTAGGTACAGAGCTATCGTGAACCCCATGGACATGCAGACTTCTGGCGTGGTGCTGTGGACCAGTGTGAAGGCTGTGGGCATCTGGGTAGTCTCCATGTTGTTGGCTGTCCCTGAAGCTGTGTTTTCGGAAATAGCAAGAATTGGTAGCTTGGAAAACAACAGTTTCACAGCATGCATACCCTACCCGCAAACAGATGAGTTACATCCAAAGATTCACTCCATACTCATTTTTCTTGTCTATTTCCTCATACCTCTTGTTATTATCAGCATTTATTATTACCACATTGCAAAGACTTTAATTAAAAGTGCACACAATCTTCCGGGAGAATACAATGAACATACCAAAAAGCAGGTAAGCTGGGTCAGGGTGTGTGTGTGTGTGTGTGTGTTATTTTATGGGTTGTTAATCCCAAGACATACAAAGGCAGCCTTTGGGCTTTCACTTGCCTGAACTGAAAGGATTCCTGGGGAATTTCTTATATGTGTTTATGTCCCATATAAATGGGATCTACTTTGATCCCATTTATCAGGCATCTGAGCCTCTGACAAGAACTGGAATATTATCAGTAGAAACTAATGTCTTTGTGCTTGGTGACAGTTATGTTGGTAAAGAGCCTGCATAGCAGTGTGAGGACTGAGTTCAGATCCCCTGAGCCATGTAAAAATGTCGGGTATGGGCTGTAACTAACAGCATGAGGGGGGCGTGTACAGACAGGAAATTCCTTGGCGCTTGCTGGCCAGTGACACTACTATCTGCACAAAAGTTTCAGAGAGAGAACCAGGTCCAAAAGATTAAGTAGAGAGTGATAGTGGATACACTAAGTTGGCCTCTGGCTTCCACACACAAGTGCATATGCACACACATATACAGATGCACACACATATACACATGAATGGATAATAAATAAAAATTGATGTTTATTTGTTTCTTAAAATATTTTATATGAATATACTTTCACAAAGATGAAGATCATCAATCTGAAAATTTCACATTTTAAGCGTAAATTGACTACTATCTTTTCCTGGTATCCCTGTAAGGGTAACTGGAAATGCAAAGGAGGATGTCTCTGTAAAGAGAATAGGGCACTGCCTAGGGCTGGGCATGGGGTTTGAGTGGGTAGCAGAATGGGAGGCTCTAGGAACTTCAGAGATGCAGAGGGAATGAATGTGATGCCCAAGGGGGCTGGTGGTTGGGACTGTTGGCCTTTTGCAACTGTACAACCTTCCCCATAGACAGCACACATTAGTGGAAAGTTGGTAACAGAGAGGAGGGAGGTAGCTCAGTGGTTAGAGAGCACTGACTGATGACCTGAGGGCCCAGGTTCAATTCCCAGGCCAGGGTTAAAAAAAGAAAAACAAACAAATAAACAAACAAAAAAAATAAAAATTGGTAACATGTAGAGTAGCTACAATTTTTTTTTTGTTAAAAAGCATGCAATAAAAATTTCAATTAAAGTTATTCTTGTGAAAGTGAAAGAATTGTTTTTCCAGTTGTGTCTTTCTATAGTCCTAGAGAAAAAAAATACTCTAATGGGCTAGAACTTCTATAATGACAAATCTTACAGGGAGGCAATGGATGCTTGTTGCCAGTGTGAAGGCAAACAAACTTAATCTGAGATTACTAGAGTTAGTGGCAGGTGTAGATGGAGCGAGAGAATGGAGCTTTGAGCCACCAGTCAGCAGCAGGAGCTGGCCGAGGTTTCCATGGTGCAGAGTAGTCTTCATTAATTAATGACTATCAACATGAAGAGTTGACATTCATTTTAGAGATTCAGATAGTGAACCAATGTCTCAGACAAATGAATCATTTGTTGTCTAAGTATCTGGAATCAGGGAAGCAAAACATCTATGCCACAAGCTCATTGTACCCTTTACATAACTAGACACTTTACTCGGTATTTTGTAATCCAACTTGTATCATAATTGCATGTTTGAGTTTTGGTTTTTGATTTCCTTTAAATTGAGTTTTTCAATACCCACAGCTTGTTTTTTTAGTGCTGTCAGTTCTGCCTTACTTTCTTTAAATTTCCAATTGTAGATTTATACGCCCTGATTGGATAACCAATTCTTAACATTTTCCAGGACATCATCTCAAAGCCCAACTTAATGGACTTGGATCTTCAGTTTAAGACTGCCATGATAGTTTTACGCCCATGCCATGTCATCCAGGGAGGACACAGGGAGTGCTCTACATTCCATATTCATACTTTCTAACATGGTTGGGTTGTCTAACTTAGGGCACCAAGATGTATCATTAGTACCACTGCATTCTATTTCTCCAGGTCAGCTATACTTGGGCGTTCAGACTTTCTAGTTCTTTCTTAAGTACTCTAGCTGCTGACCAATGTCTCCATCTTAGAAAATGTGAAGATTGCTGTTAGTATCTACTGATAAACTGTGTCCCTACTTACATTGTTGTACTTAAGCATTTAGGAAAATTGGGAAATAAGATCTAAATTTTGTACTCTAGATTTCTACCAAAGCATTCTTAAGTTAAAATAATAAATGTCTGACTTTGAGTTCTATTGATTACAGACCTGAAGATTTTCTTATAAAACAGTAAGCATAGCATGAATTCTATGAAAAATACCCTAAAATATAATCCAGTTTAATAATGTTACTAGGGTTGATAGTTATTACAGAAGTTTAAAAATTATTTTACCTCTATCTATCTATCTATCTATCTATCTATCTATCTATCTATCTATCTATCTATCTATCATCTCCATCTATCCTTCTACATATCTATCATTTATCTATCATCTATTTATCTATTTATAATGTGTGCATACATGGGCATGCCATAGTGAGTGTGTGACAATTTGAGGAAAACTTCCTGGTGTTATTGCTCTTCTTCTACCATGGAAGTCCTGAGTTTACTAGGCTTAACAGCATATGACTTTAGCCACTGAGCTCTTTTTCCAATCCCAGAAAATTTTCATTATTATATGAGCCAGGGGCCTAAATATCAATGTTTATTTGTTTGTTCATTTTTTATTATTTACTTGTGTGTGTGTGTGTGTGTGTGTGTGTGTGTGTGTGAGAGAGAGAGAGAGAGAGAGAGAGAGAGAGAGAGAAACAAAGAAGAGAGAAGAAATAGTGAGAATTATAAAAAAAGTCAAGTCCTGTTTCAATAGGTCATTTTTTTTTCTTGTTTAAAATACCATGATATTTGGAAAATATGTCCACTTGTGTGTATTCTATGTTTAAGTAATTTAGTTTATTTATTATAAGCAAAATAATTTGCATTTTTACTAACATGGCCCTACTGTAAGTAAAAGATAAGCATTTTAAGGTATTCATTAATGCTATTGTTTTGACATGAAGACTGTCATGTGTAATTTATCATCTGACGTTTTATAAATCTTAAATATCCTTAAAAGAAAATAATGTGGTGGACAAAATAGTCTTGGTCAAGCTGTTAGAGCAAACACTTTGATGAGGTAAAGCAACAGTTTGTGTATTTGGGAGTCACCACATGCCCTGATAAGCTTCCTTGCTTCTGGGAGGTGAGTTTGGGCCACGGCTCTCTCTGCTTCCCATGGACCCACGGCCATCTCTGCTGCTTTTACAGATGGAGACCCGGAAACGCCTGGCTAAGATTGTGCTCGTCTTCGTGGCCTGCTTCGTCTTCTGTTGGTTTCCCAACCATGTCCTCTACTTGTACAGGTCTTTCAACTACAAGGAGATCGACCCTTCTCTGGGTCACATGATTGTCACCCTAGTGGCCCGGGTTCTGAGTTTCAGCAATTCCTGCGTCAATCCCTTTGCCCTCTACCTGCTCAGCGAAAGCTTCCGGAAGCGCTTCAACAGTCAGCTCTGCTGCCGGGGGAAGGCCTATGCTGAGAGGTCAACCAGCTACCTTCTCAGCTCTTCAGCTGTGAGAATGACTTCTCTGAAGAGCAACACAAAGAACGTGGTGACGAGTTCTGTCCTGCTAAATGGACATAGCTTGAAGCAGGAAATAGCACTGTGATTGGAGGCCACTCAACCCACTCTTAAAAACATTCCTTACAAACTTTGTTGTTATTATTATTGAGCAAAAGTAGAACTAAATAATTTCCACATTCATACTGTTCCCCAGCTAATTCGTCAGGGGACTTCATGACTTCATGACAGGGGAGTCAAGTACAAGACAAATATTTTTCTCTGAATAGAATTTTACATTACACCATGGACATCTATATTAAACACACATAACTCACATATATCTTCTGCTAACATTGATTTACAAATTCCCTCAGGATTTAAGGCATTGCAACAAGCGATTGTGCCATATTTACTTCAAATTCCTTTTATCCTAAATCATAGAGAACATTTCCATAATGAGTCAGTAATTCGGTAATTCAAACACCTATTATTTGAAATATAAATTACATCATTCTGATGAGTAGATTTTATTTATTGCGAGTATATATGTATATATATGTATTAACTTGAAATAAGTCCAAAATGGAGCTTAATCATAGTTCATTAATATTTATGGTTCCTTATATAATTATAATTTATAGAAATGTTTGTAAGTTCTAGATATAGTATTGGAAAGTGTGATAACAGTTGATTATGAATTGTAAGTTAATATGTGAATTTGTATATGTAAAACAGGTATCAGATGCTCCGAATTCCAATACTATGACTCAGATGTTTGCATGACCATTTTTGTAAACACTTAAATTCTTGACATTTGGCTGCTTCTGTGTAGGTAATAAGATTTGTATAATTCTGGTAAGTTCTCATTTGTTCTTGCATCTGCCAACTGACAAGTCTATGGGATCTCAGACACTTTTCTCTGCATGATATCACAGTTTTCTCTGAATAAACATCTTGATATTTTCAGCAAAATATAAACATTGTCTTTATTAAATCCCAAAAGCCACTCTTTTCTTCAGCCCATACCAAATATTTAATTCTTGAGTTCTTCATACCAAGTTGAATTCTAAACACATTAAGGTGACTTTGCTGGCACATTAAGCTTCCCTTTAAATATTCCTAACCCACACTACTGAAGATATGAAACAATCATTTGGACACAGCAATTGAAAAATAAATGAAAGCAAATTATCTATAGCATATGATAATAGGAATGATAATGAACACTTATTAAGTGTTTACTATTTTCTAGCTTATTACCAGAGCTTTATACTTAATTTTAATTATGCATATGTAATTTTAATTTTTTTCTTATGTATAAACTCTTAATGAATGAAAGAAGGATCCAATTTTCTAGGTTATAAAGATGCCCAAATTGTGGGGCATCTTTATTTAAAAGATAACACAATTTTACAAATCCAATGAGAACCTCAGTACATTGTCAGAAATTTGGTCTTTAGCCTTCATTAACTTTATGGAAAGATCACATGTGAAGTAGGTCTTGGTTTCTTTATTTTATCGGTTGGGAAATTGATGCTCAGCTATATTTAGTGACTTAAGGAAGATTATCCTGCCATGTAGACAACTTAGAATAGAAAACCAGATACACCATAAAGTGTGAGCTCCACTACTCCACTGACATTCAGCTGTGGCTTTCAACCACTGATCTCAACTTCCAGGCAAGCTGCAAATCTACTTACTATGAAATCACACAGTGTGCACAAAGTTTACATTAATTTTGATCATCTTAAAAATCATTTAATGCCCATTTACTGTAATTTGTAGAATCAAGGCCTAGGAATTAAAAATCCCTGGTCAATGCAGAATATTTCTCATTAAGGATTTTAAGAAGATAATTGACACAAAGGAAAGATTGTATGAGTCATCTACATATGAATTATATGTATAGAAATAAATGAAATATTATAAAAACAGAAGCATATATCTTGTAATGTATTTTCATGACCTTAAAACTAAAGGGACATGTATATAACATTATCCATGAATTCCTAATAATTTAGAGTTAAAGAGAATACAATTATGATATAACAATCAGGCAATTTGTAAGGATGGAAAGCATTTATTGATGAAATTCTTTCAAAAAAATTTTCCCTAAACATTTTACTAAAACATTGTTCTGTAAGTTACCAATGTCATATGATGGCAATGCAAATTTATATCTTCTTTTTACTAGAAAGTTTATTAACAATGAGCACAGTTCTGAATACAGTATCACAGTTTGGCTGCATTTAAATTTTAAATAAATTTATTTTTATTTTATGTGTATGAGGTTTTGCTTCCATGCATGTATGTGCCCTAGTGTGTGCTTGGTGCCTGTGGAGGTCAGAAGAAGGCACTGGATTGCCTGGAACTGCAGTTACAGATGGGTTGTGAGCCACATGTGGGCACTGGGAACCAAGACTGTGCCCCCTGCAAGAGGAGTAAGAGTTTCTTTCTTTTTTTTTTTTTTTTAAACAACTGAGCTATTTTTCCAGCCCCTCAAAAATTCTCTTTTTTTTTTGGCTTAGACATGGAGAGTTACATTAGTATATATTTTATAATGATAAAGATGATAACAGCTGTTATATTTATCAAATGGTTGACAAAACAATATTTTTTCCATTGCATACATAAAGCCACACTTGAACAAGTGAGATTGTATTCATTTCAAATTTAGAGTTGGAATTCTTTTTACTTGTTGGATTTTGTATGCTTAGTATATAGGTACTTGTTGATGGTCTGATTTGTGATAGTTAGACATACGATTTTCCTACTTTACAGTTGTGTAAAGTTTATATGCATTATGTAGAAAATATTTATTAAAATTTGAGCTTTTGCTGAATTGGAGGCATCACCCTATGTCTTGATGCCAGACAAGAGCAGCAAACTAGAGGTCTGTATCCATTTGATCACAGGGGTAAAAGACAATAATCTATAGTGTATTGTACTGAATAAGTCATATGTGATAAAAAAAAACTTTTTATTAAGCCTAAATTAAATGTTTATTTCCTAACTCTAGGCAAATGTAAGTATTCTAAACATGTTTAATATAGCCTACAATGTTTGGGAGGGTAGGTGTAATTTTGTGGGGACAGGGGCTGGCTGCATAGTGTTGGTTGGCCTAGAACACTAGCCTTGAACTCACAGAGATTCACCTGGCTCTGCCTCTTGAGTACTGGTGTTAAATACATAAACAACCATGCCTGGCCTTAAATACATTGTTGGTTTGATATTTTCAATATACAATGGATTTGTCACACAGACTTATTAGATCACCCCTTTGTGGCTAAGGAGCACCTGTGCTTGTTCCTGGGTGTTGGACTATTATTTCATAGCTCTTTCTATGGTTGAATGTGCTTCCAAAGTTCCTGGTTGGAAACTTAATCCCAGTTCAATAGTGTTAAGAGGCACAATCTTTTAAGAGATGAGTAGAGAATGAGGGCTCTGTCTTAAGGAATACATTAATGTCTTAATCAGGAGAATGAGTTCATTTACACAGGAGTGGCATCTTTATAAAGGATGTCCACTTCCTTCCCTCTCCATTGCTCACAGGCTCTAATTTGTGACATTTTCTGCTGTTCATGATGTGGCAATAAGAGTCTCCAGATGTTGCCATGGGTCTTAAACTTATCTGTTCTGGAACTGTGAACCAGTTAACCTTCTATTATTTACAAGTTAAACAACCTATCCAGCAAAAATAAACAAAGACAGTTCTTATTAAGAAATCATGATAATGAAGTAAATTAGCCCTAAGTTTGTCCAGGAAGTGCACAGAACAATAGCAAACCAAGTGAAGGCTTCAAAGCAGGCAGAAGTAGAGTGAATATTCTCACTTTTAATAAGCTTATGGGATATGTCTTATTGTTAAAGTATCCTCCTTAAAACAGGAAATGTGAAAGAAATAAAAATATTACCCTTTCATATGCTTGGGGCTAGGTCCTATCTTTATAACTATCTCCTGCACATAAGATGGATTAGTGACATCACAAAGATTAAATATATGATGTAAGGTTGTCAGGCAACGCCTGGCATAACAGTAAATATTCACTGAAGGTACTGTTTAGCATACTTGAAAATTGACTCCTATCACCCAGTGGCATGATAATAAAATTTATTGCACATTTACTATGACAGCTAGTACTGTGTCCTTTATAAGGATCATTATGTCAGCTCTTGAAAGGAGACATCATTCTAATTTCCATCCAATGCATAAGGAATTTGAACCTTAATAGAAGGCAAAACACATGAGGAAGTACTTATCATTAAGCTCTTACTGGTTTCTAAATTCTTATAGAATCATCCACTATTTAAGGATATTTTAGTCAATGTGGAGCTGAACATACTATGATGAACCCATTAGATGAAGTCATCTAATAACATCATAGCTGTCATTGTTAGTGTAACTACATAATATGATATTCCACAATGATGACATCACCAGATGATATATTTCTAGCAATGTATTGTTGTTTCTAAGCAATGCATGAATATAAACTCTCTATAGTTAAGAGTCCCTGGGATTTCAAATTCAGTTACAACTTTGAAAGAAAGGATTAAATGTGTTAGTTTCCTCCCTGAAATATAAGGGTTATTTTACAAGGACAAAGAGAATGGCACTTTGAGTTTAGCTTGATCATTCTCAGAAAAAACAGCTTAAATTTTAAGTCGTTTCCCTGAGCACATCTACAAAATGACATCTTGTATATTAAAATGTGGAAATGTAATTTTCCCCAAAATTCTTTTATCAATTTTGTGTGTGCTACATAAAAAAAACACAGGAAAGGAATAAAATTTGGTGAATTTTAAAAAATACAGTACATATTTCATTTTTCTGTTTGCTCATTAGAGCATATGCTAAATATTGATTAAATCCCATGGAGTTCCAGAATAATTAATAGAGTTTGAACAAGTGTAATCCCCATGTACTCATATTTTATTTTTAGCTTCATTGCTCAGTCAGAAAATAGTTCTATGTTTCTAAGAAAGAAGCTACTTCAATCACCAGACAGCTATTAAAATAGAATATGCATAAGGATTTCAACTTCGAATAATTTAACATTGCAGTATGTTTTCCTTAGCCTTGCTCAAAACAGTAGGGATAGCTGCCACAAAATATGGTCCGGGTATGGGATTGAAAATTATTTGTGTGAAGTTATAAAAGGAACAAAAGAGAATAAGCAAGAGAAGTGTGTTTGTGACTGTGGCACTGGAGACCATTATAGGACACCTTGCTTATCAGCATAAGCCATGGTTACAGCATTTCACACCACTTTAGTCTCTAAATTATTTTGCCAAGTCATTTTATTGTCCATATGTTGCATCTTAGCAAGCTTTTGGACAGGAAATTTTCCTGTATCCCTAACTCAGTGTTAATCTGTAATGGACAATTTGAAATCAGATACAGCAAACCTTAGTGAATATTTTATTTCTAAGAACTGACTCTCCTCTTGGGTAATAAATTGGTAATAATTATTCCTTCTGCCTCATAGTGGAAGAAATATATAAATTAAAGCCATTTGGGAATTTTATAATTTATTTACTGATATTCAACAAAACTATTTGAAATGAGAAACCTACAGTCTTTTGAGTTATCTCAAGTCAGAAAAAAAAATAATCAATATTATCCAATCTAAAATTCAAGTTATAGAATGCTTCAATGGCTGTTTTTTTAAACTATACTGAAAAATCACTTGGAAACTTGAGTCTATACTTAAAATTGTAGTTGTCTGCTTGGTGTCAGGAATCTGTTATGTATGTAACACTCTGTTCCTTCCTTCCAGGTACAACGTACAAGCAAACTCTCACCAGCTTGACCCATCAGTTTCCTTGTTCTTGTCTTGGAGATAGGTTTTCTCCCCCATGTATCTCAGGTTAGCCTCTCACTCCTAGTTGTACGATACCTGTCTCCTGTTGTGGGGTTGCAGTCACGCTCCACCATGTCAGACCTAGAATACCACAACCTTTACTATTTTCT